AAACTCACTATATTTTCAATCATTTTATTAAATTTGTGTATTTAGCTTCTACAAACCATATTGTTCTCCTTCAAAATAATATTGTGAAACTCGTCTATCAACCATATAAGATTTGTCATTGAACTATATGTGACAATACTAAACATATCATGATTAATGACAAACCAAAACCTTGTATGAACGAAATATTATACATAATGAAACATAAAAAATTAAAGTTAACAACAATTCTATAAACATAAGAAGTACTATTTAAACTTAAAAAAACAATATTATATAAACTTCAAAACAAATTTATTCGTAACTTACCTTCAAATGTAATGTCAATCATAAACATAAATATTAACTAAATAACACTATATATTAGACTAAATATTTGAGTTAATTATTTATATCCTAACTAATTATTGTAGGTACTCAATAATATATTAATCTGTTTTGGAAAACATATTAGAAATTTAGATTGGATATGATACAAGTTTGTTTGGAATTTTAAAGTTTCGGGTTCTTTCGGATATCCATTTAAGTTCGGGATCGGTTCGGGTAATACCCATAACCCGAAATACCGTAAAACAAGATCCATTCGGTACTTATATCGGGTTCGGATCGGTTCGGATTCCTTTTTATCGGGTCGGGTTCGGTTCGGATTTTCGGGTTCGGTTTTTTTGCCCAGCCCTAGTTTAGGGTCTAGGCTTTAGGGTTTACAATTGAGGTTTAAGATTTAAGGTAATTTTTTTAGTGTTAAAGGTTGAGAATTTTTTTAGGGTTTAGGGTTCACTGTTGATGGTTTTGGATTTAGAAAGGTTTAGGGTTTAGGACTGATGTTATAGGGTTTAGGGTTGAAGGTGTAGAGTTAGTATTTTTAGGGTTTAGGGTTTAGTATTCATAGTAATGTTTAGAGTTAGTATTAATTTAAAGCAAGGATATTAGAGACATTTTACCCATTAATGAATGTTATTTTTGTGGCTTTTCCATTCTAGTGCTGTTTTAGAGACAAAAACTTCAGAAGTGCTATTTTGGTCAATTGCCCGTCCTCTTATTTGTTCAATATATATTCTTATTTTATTATTTCATGATATGTAAAAATGTGAACTTAATAATAGTATGTGGAAAATAATTTGTATACAGAATACTCATCTTTCACAAGGTAGTAAACAATTCAAACCATAACTAATCTCTATTAGGTTTCTTAAAGGTTTCTACCTTAAGTATTTTAAAATTAAACCATGCATTTATCAAAATAAAATACATACCTTTTAGTGGAATTATCCCCTTCTCAATAAAGCGATAGAAGTGTAGATAAGCCATGAAGCCACAAGCACTAGTTGTCCAGAAAAGAACCTCCGGAATACCAAGCTCCTCCGCAGCGTCAACAGTAAAGCTCATAATACCGTCTGCTACAATACAACTCACCCGAGGAACATCATGTTCAGCGTTGATCCGCTGGAGGAGCTCCTTGAACGGAGCGAGACAGTTCTTCATGGAGGATTCGCAGAGGGCAGGGATGCCCTGAGTGACGTCCTTGCCAGTCTCTGGTAGACCGTCAGAGATGGTCTCGAACCGAAAAGAAAGAAGCCCATTGAGGGTATTGGACCCATGGGATCGGAGTAGCCGGTTGTGGTTGTAGACAGTGTTGACGAAAGTAACATGAAAGCCTTTAGCGTGGAGGAGTTTAGCCAATTTCAGCATTGGATTGATGTGGCCTTGTGCAGGAAAAGGCACGCAAACTACATGTGGCTTTCCTCCACTAGAAACGACATGAGACGCCATTTTATTTCTCTCTTACGCCAAGAAGTATATGAAAATGGATATGTATTTTTGATTGAAATTGGGAGCGCTTCCATTAAGTTTAACAGACTCCATTTCATAATGCTAACTAATAAGGTCAATGACCATAAGACAGCGAGACCATACAATTATTAGACGTAGAAAAGTCTGCCTCACATGCGAATATTCGCCACTAGCGATCTCGAGGCAGAAGTTTGTGTATTTGTTTTTTTTGTCAAATAGGTATGTTTTATGGTTGTTTAATTTGATAAAAAGTCGTAAATGTCAAAAATTAGGAGTATGTAGTTATTAGTGGCATTAAAGTGTAATTAAATAGTTATTGTTAATTGTGAACAATAACTTAGAATTACTTAGGCGTTAGATGAGTGATGAGATGAGTCATAGCCTTTTTGGACATAGAGTATTAGACAAACATAGTATTGATACCGGTTATCTTTTGGGTCAATATCAGTTTGTTCTAAGAATTTATTTTAATCTGGTTAGTGTTGTAAACTCTTGGTATATAAAAGAGTAACATGGCTATGATGTTATCATCGTTCTCATTCATCTAAAATTCATAGCGTAGAGAGTTTAGATTGTTGAGCTGGTCGTGTAACAGAAGCACCATTCTAGTGAATTGCTGGATCGAGTCTGGCCCCAGGAATTAGTTCTCCATTTCAGAGAGATACCCTGGGTAAACAAATCTATTGTGTTGATTTCTTTCTTGCTTTCATTCTTGTTACTTGAGAGAGAGAGAGAGAGAGATACACAAAAGCTTCGTAATCGATCGTGTGAAGAAGACTTAAGGCTTGTATTGAGTGATTAAGTTGTAACAATTGGTATCAGATGTGGGAACCGAAATCCACCTACTGTCAATAAATCGTAAAAAAGGAAACTTCGGGAAAACCCTAAGTTTCTAAAGGAACCGGCTATCTGCAGAACCGCACAACGAAGATTAAGAAAACGATAAACTTAGAATTTAAAAGAGAATAAACGAGATTGAGAGCAAAGAGGTTCTTATTCTGAATCTGCGTAAGAACTGGTACAAAAAGAGTAGCCGAAAAGTCTAAGAACAATGTGGGAACCGAGATTCACACTTGTCGATTTCCATAAATAAGGAAAGTTAAGAAAACCCTAATTTACCAGAGGAACCGGATCTCTGCGAAAGCCAACGACAAGTAACCAAGAACGCGATTAATATGAATAAATTGAAAGATATAAAAAGAAAAACAAGATTGAGAGCAAGAAGGATTCTTATTCCGAATTCGCGTAAGAACGGTTACAACGAGAGTTGCCTTAGCTGCGTGAGCCGTCGGCGAAATTCCTAGTTCTAGTAATCTAAAACTAAAACCCTAGTTGAGACGCAGCTTGATAACGAAAACGGAAAATTGCCTAAATGCTAAGTTTGGTAGTGAAAGCTCTGAAAACTCGTGTCCTTTGCTTCTGCCCTAGACCTCCTATTTATATACTCCTCGTCTTGGCTATTCGGTCTTTCCATTTCGCCCAGATTTGACTATATCGGGAATTTTCCATTTTTATCGATCCTTCCTTTTCTTCCGCGGAAATCTTCTATTTTTCTTCAAACCTTCCTTTTATCTTCAAACTTGACATTTATTTTCCTCCTGCGAGTAAACCGTCAAAACGTTATCGAATCTACGGGTTAGATTCCGTTAATATCGTAAGATGGGTTTTATCGCATTTTAGGTCCTTTCGGGTCGTTTTGCGATAAATCCGTTTTCCGACTTTTTACGGGATCGTTTCCTGATCTGACGTCGTTTTTAATAAATTCCTCGATCTAATCGTAAGGTTTTACGATTAACTCGACTTTTTATTAAAAACACGTTTTTTACGATTTACTCGACGTTTTTATATTAAAAACGCGTTTTTATGATTTCAACGAGAAATCTCGAATAAATCGTATAGTTTAGGCAATGTCTGGTGTTTCGTTTAACCGTTGCCGTTTTATACGATTTCCTCGAGTTCTTTGTTGAGAAGATGAGTTTTACGGTTTTTATCGTAAAACTCGAACGATAGGTCGGATCGAGATGGAACGGGAGATGTTTCGGCCATGGTTCAGAATGTGACAGTGTCGAAAGACGTACGTTTCGAATCGGGAATACGGGAGACCGAGGCTCGGTACGTCCGGGAAGTCTCTAGTTCGCCCAACGACGAACTAAGCCGGCTGGCTTAGTTCGCCCGTGGGCGAACTAGTCGGGACAGGACTAGTTCGCCCACCGGCGAACTAAGCCAGCTTGGCTTAGTTCGCCCATCCGCGAACTAAGCCGGGCCGGCTTAGTTCGCCGATGGGCGAACTAGTCGAGCATCTCCTAGTTCGCCGATGGGTGAACTAGTCGAGTGTCTCCTAGTTCGCCCGTGGGCGAACTAGGCATGACTAGTTCGCGTTTTACGGCTGTTTCGGTTTTTTGCGGTTTCGTAAAACGATTCTCGAGTTTTATAAAACGATCTTCGAGTTTTATAAAACGATCTTCGAGTTTTATAAAATGGCTTTTTGAGTTTTATAAAACGATTCTTGAGTTTTATAAAATGGCTTTTTGAGTTTTATAAAACGATTCTTGAGTTTTATAAAACGATCTTCGAGTTTTATAAAACGATCTTTGGGTTTTGTAAAACGGCTTCTCGAGTTTTATAAAACGATCTTTAAGTTTTATAAAACGATCTTCGAGTTTTATAAAATGGCTTTTCGAGTTTTATAAAACGATTCTCGAGTTTTATAAAACGATCTTCGGGTTTTATAAAACGGCTTTTCGAGTTTTATAAAACGATTCTCGAGTTTTATAAAACGATCTTCGGGTTTTATAAAACAGCTTCTCGAGTTTTATAAAACGATCTTTAAGTTTTATAAAACGATTTTCGAGTTTTATAAAACGGCTTTTCGAGTTTTATAAAACGATTCTCGAGTTTTATAAAACGATCTTCGAGTTTTATAAAATGGCTTTTCGAGTTTTATAAAACGATTCTCGAGTTTTATAAAACGATCTTCAGGTTTTATAAAACGGCTTTTCGAGTTTTATAAAATGATTCTCGAGTTTTAGAAAACGATCTTCGGGTTATATAAAACGGCTTCTCGAGTTTTATAAAACGATCTTTAAGTTTTATAAAACGATTTTCGAGTTTTATAAAATGGCTTTTCGAGTTTTGTAAAACGATTCTCGAGTTTTATAAAACGATCTTCGGGTTTTATAAAATGGCTTTTCGAGTTTTATAAAACGATTATCGAGTTTTATAAAACGATCTTCTCGAGTTTTATTAAACAATTCTCGAGTTTTATAAAATGATCTTCGGGTTTTATAAAACGGCTTTTCGAGTTTTATAAAACGATCTTCAGGTTTTATAAAACGGCTTCTCTAGTTTTATAAAACGATCTTTAAGATTTGTAAAACGATCTTCTAGTTTTATAAAATGGCTTTTCGAGTTCTATAAAACGATTCTCGAGTTTTATAAAACGATCTTCGGGTTTTATAAAACGGCTTTTCGAGTTTTATAAAACGATTCTCGAGTTTTATAAAACGATCTTCTCGAGTTTTATAAAACGGTCTGCGAGTTTTATAAATGACTTTGAGTTTTATAAAATGACTCCTCGGGTTTTATAAAACTATTCCTTTTGTATTTTTGCGGGGAGTTTTGGCTATTAATTCCGTCGTACCGATTTTGACCCAACACCGATTTTGACCCCAACAGTTAGCCCCCCAGCTCGTAAGAATCTTGAGCCTTTAGCGTAAGGTTCTTGCGAGTGGTTAACCAGTTTTAGTTAAGTTAGGCGGAATTAATGGTCGGAAAGGTCCGTTGAAAGTGATCTTTCCAATCTCCAGGGATCGGAAAGCGTTTAAGATTAGGGCTGCGCCTTGTGAAGGCTGCCTACGTACCCTTTTGAGGGGATCAAGCCTTTCGTAGTTCGTTTCGGAGTTAAGGTTCGTATGACCTGTTTCCCAGCAAGACCTTTACGGTCTAGTTATATGTTTATCGAGCATATTGATGTCGATGGCATCTTGACCTTTGCCGGCCTTGAGACTAG